CCATACAAAAAAATTTACTGGGTCACTCTTATTTGATTGAGCACTCAACCAATCCAGATCACTTAGTAGCCATGCCTTTGTTCTTGGTGCACCTCTAGCATCGGGAGTCCAACTTAGAATTTTTATAGCTTGAGGAGACTTTGTTAAAATCAAAATCTCATCACCAAGACTGAGAGCGTGTGTGGCTTCGGAATCAATTCTTATCGGCATTCTAAACTTTAGTTGTATACTAGGAATACTCACAGCTTCGCCAGGACCAGGATAAGCCGGTGGCATATGTTCACCTAGACTGTATTCTTTCGCAGCCTTATTAAAGTCTAATTGATAAAGCTCAGATCCTGGAGAAATACTTTGCAACGTGAAAGAGATAATATGGCCAAATGAGGTTCGCGTCCCGATTATCTGCATATCTGATCTGGCTAGAAGTGATACATTCTCCCCATAGCAGTCAATTGACTTCTGATTACGACAATAAGATGTTATTATACATAGTGGCTGTAGCTCAAAAAAAAATACAATACGAGTTAGTATTTGCCGTTAGCCAAATCCTATCATGAATTTCAACCGTGCACACTCACCTTCACTTGATAAACATGAATACCACATTTTGTGGCCACAAATAAGAGGTGACCTGGCCTCGGAGAGAGTACGTCAACAATATTATCATAGTCTGTTTTATCCGGCCCATTTAATGATGGTACTCTTACTATTTGCGGTGTAGAAGAAGGCCATATCATCCTTGTCCGTCGACTTGTGGCCTATGTTGATGAATTTCCTTGATGTTCCCAGGCCAAATGGGAGGACATAATCCATCGTCGCTCTGGGTGCACCATTATCATTATTCATTTATAGTGCTTAATGATGAGGCGCTGAATAGTTCTTTATCTAGATCAGTTAATACTTCTACTTTTAATAAAATGTTTTGATATACTACTTTATCATTTAAAAATATATTTACATGGATACTTTATTCCCGTGAAGCGGATCCCACAATCCCACATCCGAGAACCCGATCGTTTTGATAAAGTACAACGTTTTGTCCAGGCGCTACGGCACGCTTAGACTCTGTGAAAGTAATTTCAACCTCACTTTCTGAACCAGTTTTTTCCTTGGAAATTAACTCAATTTGAGAAATAGCTACAGGATTTTGCAAAGATCTGTACTGTATTCTCAAATTATCGGTTTCAGTTAGATCAATACTAGATAGGTTGTCCATCCAAATCCAACTATGACTTCGGATTTTTTTGGAAAATAGCTCCGAATTATCATTTCCCTTTACAATAACTAATTGATTTTTCTCGATGATTTTATCACACACAAACCATGAGCCTTTGTATTTCGGATTTCCCTGGGGCATAGATAACCCAGGGGGCTTCTGGCCAACTGTAGCTGTCCATAGGCCCTGATGAGTTCCCACTACTGTCCCGTCCTGTAGAATGATATCACCAGGTTTTGATTGGATATATTCAGCCAAGAAATCCTTAAAATGATTGTGTTCATTAGAAACAAAACACAGCCCTTGAGAATCTGGTTTGAATGCCGTCGGAAGCTGGAATTTTGCTGCTATCGTTCTGATTTCAGGTTTGGTGTATTGTGCCATAGGAAAAAGAAGCTTAGCTAGGGCTATAGGATCAACTGTGGATAAATAATAGCTTTGATCTTTATTCATGTCCACAGGCCTCAGCAGATGTGATACGCCGGTAGGATTATGTTTAAGAACTTTAGCGTAATGACCTGTAGCTAACCACCAATTTTTATTGTTTTTTTTTGTCTGCTGCTTCAGAAATTCAAATAAAGCACCAAATTTTATATGTCTATTACATCCAACATCCGGATTAGGCGTATAACCATTTCGATAGCCCTCTAGCATAGGCTCAAATACTTCTAGCCAGTAATCTTTTTCAAAATTAACTCGTCTACAAGGAATCCCTAAAAACGAAGCTACTCTTTGCACATCGTTCCAATCAGCCTCAGCACATTTGGATGTTGAATTCCAGTTGTTCATGAAGATACCCGAAACCCTTCCAGGATATTTCTGAGCCATTAAAGCTGCCGTTGTAGAAGAGTCAACTCCAGAAGACATGGCAACGTATATGTGGTCTTCATTAGAAGGTTCATGCTCAGAGTAGATTGTTGGCGAATGTTCAGCAGTAGCTATAAATCTTTGCTTAATAGCTGTTTTTGGGGGTGAAGTCAATCGACAAGAAACCCCGAATCTTGATAGTGGAAAATACAATAGCTTTTTCAAAGAGTTACTATACAGCATCCTGTTGATATTTTTATCCTTGAAAAGCAAATAGAAGAAGTATTATATGGAACATTACCGTATTACCAATATTACTGTGTCAATCTTTGGGATGACAATCTCACCAACCCTGGCCCTGATCTGATATCTCAGATCTTAAATTTAGGTCCGCCCGGTATCTTTGACGAAGGCATATTAGAAATTGAGAACTCATGAAAACTTTTTAGAGAAAGAAATAAGAGTATACCCTTTTCCTTGACTGATCAAATAAAAGTTCCAGTATAGTCTTGAAATTTATATACTTACCAGTGATAGTATCAACTAATTTTCGTGCTATTCCTGCATTACTATCAGCTGCATCTCTTATCGGCAGTAGTACCCATACTGGCCTTCTTCAGTCGTTCAGTTCCCTCCGAAGAAATAACTATAGAGGTTTGTGCATTGCTTATTATTCAGCCGAGTAAAACAATTTATTCTTTATTATTTAAAATTAACTATCTAACGCATTTTTAAATTTACAACCAGCTGTTTTTATATCTCAAGAAAAGTTGCGTCCAGTGCCAGCCCACTAATAATAGACTCTGATTTAGAACGCCCAGTAACTGATACACGCGAATATAGAGTCATTGAGCTTGAAAATGGTTGGAGGTGCTTTTAATTCATGATGAAACAACTGAAAAATCCGCTGCAACATTCGATGTTAAAGTTGGCACATTTCAAGACCCTAAAAACTTACCAGGTCTAGCACATTTCTGTGAGCACCTCCTCTGTTCATGGGGACTAAAAAGTACCCCCAAGGAAATTCATACAGCCAATATCTGTCCAAATATTTTGGTCATTTTAATGCGTATACTAGCTCAGAAAATATTAACTATTACTTTGAAGTTGGCCATAGGCATTTGACTGGTGCGCTAGATCGTTTCGCCCAATTCTTTATTGATCCACTTTTTTTCGGCAGACTGTAAAGAGAGGGAAATATGGGCTGTAGATTTTGAACACCAAAAAATATGCAAAATAACACCTGGCGATTGAGCCAATTACAGAAATCGCTGGCCAGCTCTAATCATTCATATTGCTGATTCATCACCGGCAATTTTGAAACACTAGGAAAAATACTGAGAAAAATCAGGCATAGACTTACGCAAAGAGTTGATAGAATTCTATGACGAGTTTTGCTCAGCTAATCTTATGAAATGAGCTGTTCTGGGTAGATAGAGTCTTGGCACATTACAAGAATTGGTTAATCCGAGTTTCGTCCATATAAGTAATAAAAAGAAAGAACGTTTCTGCAGCAAAGTTCAACCATTTACTGGACAATTAAAAAATATCGTTAGAGTCAAACCAGTTATGGATTCTAAAGCACTTGAAATTAATTTTATAATTCCTGATCAGACTTTGGACTACAAAACGAAGGTATCTAATTATTATTCACACTTGATTGGCCATGAAAGCAAAGGGCCTCTGTTTTATTTCTTCAAAAAGCTTGGCTGGGTGGCTCATCTCTCAGCCGGCCCGGGACATACAAGCGGTGGTGGCAGTGACCTGTTCTCAATCAGCCTTGACCTTACAGATGAAGATCTTAAAAACTATGAGAATATTTTGGTAAATGTTTTTGAATTTGGAAATGCTTAAAGCTGAGAATACACCCGCAAAAAATTAGATTTTTCAAGAATTGAAACATGCTAGTGAAGCCAACTTTAAGTTCAATCAACGAGGATGCGTTTCAGGCACCACTTCAAGACTTGCTTCCCTAATTCATCGAGAATTTTACCTCGAGAACAATTATTGAGTTCATCATTACTCCGAAGTTTTGGTAATAAGGCACTAGATGGCTTTTTAAAATACCTTAACGCTGATAACTGCTTTGTTATTCTAGTTGCTAGAAAACTTTCTCGCCCTGATCAGCGAGAAAAATGGTATAGTACCGAGTCTAGTGTTTCAGGCTTAGATCTAAACCTTATATCAAGAATTTTAATGTGCCAATCTTTCCGGAAGTTTTCTTGCCAAAAATGAACTAATTTATCCCAACAGATTTTGAGGTGAAGTGTTTCCCTAGGAATAATGAAAGAGGTATTTTACAAAAGAAACCCACCTTGACTGATTGTTCATTTAATCATCAAACTTGGCATAAGGATGATGATCTGTTTTGATGATACTGCTGTGTCTATAAAGATATCAGTACGTAGTCAATTGATTAAAGATTTGTCTGAAGAGTTCATGAAGGTTGATAATGGTGTTCTCAGCGATATTGAACAAAAATTACCGGAAATCATCAATAAAGCATTTACTAGTATGGGAGAATTTCAAAATTCAAACTTAATTGAATCAGTTTTGCTAAAATATTTGCGTGATTTTTTTATGTGTAACTTCAATCAGCAAATCAACTTAAAGCAAACCTCAATTGAATCATTGCTTCTCGTTAAGTTTAGTTTGAACTATTCGGATCTCTCTAATAGTGCTTAGAATCTAGATAAAAAGTAGGTAACAAGAGTGAGTTTTTCTCATGTAAATCAGATTATGCAGTAATTTTTTTCTATGTATGATTTTCTATAGAACCAAAATAATAAAAACGGCCAGATGATCGTTTAAGACAAAATGATAAGGTGTACTTAGCATTTCGAAAATCGGCACTTCTCTTTGTAGCAGACTGAATTATAGTTTAAAAGGCTCTAAACGATAAAACGTGTGGCTTGTACTGTGAAATAAATTCTTCATCGATATACCGAGCGCTTAGTTCTAGTAAAAATTAAATAAATCTCCTGGGGGCGAGTCGAACGCCCGATCTCAGGATATATGTAACAATTACAGTCCCGCGCCTTAGCCAGCTTGGCCACCAGGAGGTATTTCTTAAAAAGGGAAAAACTTTTGTATTTTTGAAATATATGTTGAAGATTCAAAAAGAGGTTATTTACTTAAAACCGTTGTTTACAGGCCATAAGAAAGCACACAGGTCTTTAAAGAAAATAATACAAAAATTAAAAACTGGGGTTTTATTCAATCTTAATCCGAACTATCCTAAGCCAGGAATAACATAATAAAAAGCAAATTAAACCAAAAAAATAAAGTATTACAATTCAAAACCTAGATCAGTTTTGTTTGGCCTTAATGGCGTCCTCAATCTTTGCAGAATTACCATTGATTTCAAGAATAATAGGTTTAATGTGCGAGTAGTAATTTGCAGGGGTGTTTTTGAAATTCTTGAGCAAGTCAAGAACTCAAAGAAGATTCTTGGAGAAAGTATCGTAGTTGGAAACACTAGAAATAGAATCAATTATAGTTAAAACAAGAGCCAGGAACTTAGAGTAGTCGGTAGAGATGCCTTTCATAACCCTACCGCCGGAAATTTGAGCTAAAAGACCCTTGGCACCCTTCTTATCTAAAGCAAGAATAGCAGGGTTAATAGTGATAATACTCGTATTTTATGTAGCAAGCGATTCTTCAAGAGTTTTAGCCTTGTCTTCAGCGGAAGTATTAGAAGAGTTGCTAGAAACGGCATTTTGAAGAGCAGAATCTGCCGCAGGTTAAACACTTTAAACGGCATCGTCGAGATCTTGCATATAGGTGATGGGGAGACCCGGTCCAAGAAAGCCACCGATATCACCATGTAGATAATTCTTGGAGTCAGACTTATCATTATTAACTGTAGAGGCAATATCTATATCTTTAGAGTGTAAGGAGAAATTTCCGGATACAGAAATGGAGAAGCAATTCTCACTCTTATACCCCTCAGTAGCCTCATGAAAGAGATCTAACTCTGGGTGTTTTCGACTAGGAGCTGAAATGGAAGCTGAAACAACTGACTTTACAGCAGCAAATCCAACGAAAAACATAATTAAACCCTCGATAATCACCATTATGGATAGAGTGATGAGCTTGTTGGTTAGAAAGATATACTAACAATGGTTTGCCCGCCCACCCCGCGAAAGATCCACACATCCTCCCTCTGCACTATGTAGGTACTGGGCGAAGATCCTGGTAGAGGTATATTAAAATGAAATCACAAGCAATTTCAGAGTCTCCCCTCCCCAATCAAGTAGATCTGTAGCTTAGTTAGCAACTCCTGATTCAGAGGTATATATAATTCTCCGAATACCTGCAGGCCAAGTTTTATTATGTGGCAATGCCATTTCTATAACAGTATACATGTTATCAAGCCTAAGATCCTAGCAAAAAAACACTTTGAGTGTCCTACAAACTTTCTTAGTAAACCAGGTTATGAATACATATTTAAAAATAGAATTACAGTTTCAGGAATGTAGTATTCTTGGAGTAAATGGATTTTCTACTTTAAAAGTGGAAAATAAAAAATTGCTCCAGGAGGGGATTGAACCCACGACCATCGCGTTCCTCACACGATCGTGACATATGTATATACGTCGATAAACGGCTATAAGCACGAAGCGCTAACCTCTGCGCCACAAGAGCAGTAATTTTCATTACTTCAACTTTAACCGTTCTTATTTGTCAACAAAGTTTATAAATAATCAATTGCTCTCAGAGAGAGCGTTTTTTGTATTATGTCTTTGGGTGGACAGTATTCAAATCTTATTATTTTAGAACTTCGATTATTGAAATGAACCTTTTCCGTAAGTTTGTGTCACTTTCGTGTATGAACCATCTTGCACCGAATACTTGTGTAGCTCCTGAACCCTTTATAATCTTCCAGAAATTAAATTTTAGAAGATTATGAGAAAAAAAACCATATCTTAAAACCATCGTAATTCAATCTCATTTTGTCACTTTTGGATATAATATTTATTTCATTTTATTCGTCTTTGATTGTGTTCATTCACTTCAAAATTGTCAAGCCAAAAAAATTTGCAGATTAGCCTGGGGTGTAGAGTGGGACGAATAGAAAAATCATATGCGTCATAATCAGCTATCAAGCTGCAGATGAAGCGATAATGCGTTTTACAATAGAATTACGACTGTGTTATTCAACGCAGAAAGAGGCACCAGCACTGGGTCTCGAGATAAACAGGTAAATAAACAAGAAGTATTAAAAACAAGCGCATATTTTACTTTTTCCCTTAAGTTGAAACACAAAACTTTTACATCAAGTTAACCGAGGAAGAAAAAATGGACGACACCGGAATCGAACCGGGGACCTCGCGCATGCTAAGCGCGTGTGATAACCAACTACACCAGACGCCCATTTTATTATTAATTAAAGTTATTAATCTCATCTTTTCAAGATAGAATATTCTAAAGGGGAAACTTTTTTCTATTGCACAAGCGGTAATTACGCAATTAAAATATCAAAAAAGGAAAAAAAAAAGAAGAAAAAAAGAAGAGGAAAAAAAGAGGAAAAAAATAACCGAATTTTCTAATAATAGATGCTAACCAAAAAAGAAAATAGAATCCAATGAACCCCATAAGGGGGGAAAAAAAAGATATGCGGTTTCAGTGGATCGAACACTGGACCTTCAGATAAACCGAGACTAAAGTATGACTTCAGTCTGACGCTCTCCCAACTGAGCTAAAACCGCAAATAATTCTCCTGGGGGCGAGTCGAACGCCCGATCTCAGGATATATGTAACAATTACAGTCCCGCGCCTTAGCCAGCTTGGCCACCAGGAGGATTTCTGGTTGTTCTAGTGTCTCTTTTGTCATATATCCACTGAAGAAAATTGAAACAATAATTTTTACAGCTCTTTTTACTTGATTATTATAAAGATCATTATGAATACAAATCCTAGCATATTCTGCTGTAAGAGTTATTCAAGTCTTTTTTTTAGAATTTATTTTCTACTGAAACCTATTGAAACTTAGATTTTAAATAGACAGTTTATTTCGAGGCTGAAAAGGAAAGAACGAATAATTTTACAACAATAATTTTTAAATCAGTTTTTTAGGTTTTTCGGAAGAAAAAATGATAATTTGAACCAATACTGGTAACAGAAGGTAACCGCTTTGTAAAAATTGCACTTCCTACTTGAAATGAAAGACAAGTGCGGATTATCACTGCCATACTATATTATGAACCATATAGTGTGCGGAATGCACCTCAGGCTAGGCTCCCAATATATTGTGAACCTTATCCAAAGTTGCAGTTTGAGATGCAGTATGTCACCGTTATCGACGGTTTGATATTTAGTAACCATAAAGTCCACAACAGAAAAATGATAACAGACGAAGTTGAAACGACTATAAATAGTGCATTTGAACAAAATGATTTAATCAAGAGTGGTACAACTTCTGATGATCAAGACCATGGATCGGTTGATTCGCCTGATCTGGAGTTCCAGGAAGACTATATTCCACCATCCGAGAACCATGACGAATGGTTTCAAAGCATTAAGCGTTTCAAGCATATATTCTTTTCTCATTCCCCAGGGAAAGAGGTGGGTATCGAATCAAACAATGGTTTGAACTCAAATACAGAGGATACTAGACCACATATTGAGAATTCTGGTCATCCACTCGCAGGTTTCTCGAGCAACAATTCAGCTCACTTGAATGATCTTAGTATTTCAGAAAACTTACAAACAATTCATAATATACCGGCAAAAAGCACTACCGGAATATCTATGAACGAAATCGATGATATTGATAAATCATTATCAACCTCTTCAAACCAACCAACAATACTGACCGAGAATAACATGGATGTTGAAACACTACTATCGGAAATTTTAAACGATTCAGATATGGATGGGCTCACGCATAGGCCAACTCAGAACCCTGATCATAGTGTGCCACCACTTGAGACTGGGCTTAACGATATTGACATTTCGTATGACTCTGGGTCAGAGCACGACGATAACCTAGACGAGGATACCAGTAATCTGGAAGTATTTCTCTCGCAAGAAAAGCATTTTTTCATTTTATCAACTGCCGGAAAACCTATTTATTCATTACATGGTGATGATAATATGATAATGAGCTATATGGGGGTTCTACTTACCATTATATCGTTTTTTCAAGGACAGTCACACGATACAGACAATAGTGACCAGCTCAGATCTTTTACGGCGGGAAACTCGCTATTCGTAGCATCTTACGAGGACCCGCTAATATTGGTTGCTATCAGCAAAAGAGGTGAGAGTGAGCAACAATTAAGAAACCAAATCGATGTGTTATATACACAAATCCTATCGACGTTGACAAAAAGTCAGATATCAAGAGTATTCAAAGGCCGAACTAACTTTGATTTAAGAAGACTATTGGGGGGAACAGAAAAGTTTCTTACTGCGCTAACACGAGAAATATGTAAAGGATCGCCCCCAATCTTATTATCTGCTCTTGAATGCGCTAAATTACCCAGAACGATACGTGAAAAGATCACCACCATTTTATTATCACACAAATCACCTTCTTTACTGTATGGCTTGGTGGTTTCTGACTCTCGCTTGGTTAGTGTGATTCGGCCACGAAAACATAGCCTTCATCCCCCGGACTTACTACTGCTATTCAATATGATATTTCACACCACTGCTTTCAGAGATGGCGAAGAGCATTGGGTCCCAATATGTTTACCCAAATTTAATTCGACTGGATTTTTGTATGCACATATATTTCAGTTTTCTAAAAATTCAGTTTTGGTGCTGATAAGCGCTGATAAAGATGCCTTTTTCGAGCTAAGAACGGTTAAAGATAATATACTTAAATCGTTGAGGCGAGATAACCTTATCAAACCGATTGAACTAGCAGTAAATAACGGCTTTAGCTTCCGGACAATTGATATTCCTGTTCCTCACATAAGACATTTCTTATACAAGTCTAAGCTAGATGTGCAGTTCATCATGCCAAATATCGAGCCGCATTTCTTTCCTACGACCAGTTCTCGTAAAGCGCTGATGGGGTATTACCACAAACTACACGCCATGGTTCATGCAAAGAATGGGGGCAAATTAAAAATGGTGTATTTTACAAAAGGTTCAGCTACGTTTTTTGGCTGTGATTCACCCACCTTTGAACTATATTTCGCTACTGGCCCTGATACTACCAAAGCAATTCTTACGCTGAGTGTTCGGGCCATTTTAGCTTGGGTAAGCAAAAATAAGGAGAGGTTGTTCATAATGGGTGGTGGTGTGTTTTAAAAAACAGGCCTGTGTTATTTATATATATTTTTGCAATTTGTATTATTATCTGTTTAAACCTGTAGCCATTAATTTCTACTCAAGATACATACCCCTTTTAGTACTTGTGGCATCTAACAATTTTGAGAGATCTTATAGGTCGGCGCATCGGCACCGTCTTCAGAAGTGCGGCTGTGGCCGGAGATTGAGAATCTTGATTAACACGCGCCCTGAGATTCGTTCTTAAGAAACTCCCCTGTTATTGTGGCCTTTCCTAAGTTCATTTTTAAAAGCTGCTCTTTAAATAAAAACCCTCAAAACTGATCCAAGCAATGACTGTTTCATCCGAAGCCTTGATTGAAGAGGCCAAAGCCCTTGTGAAGGTTAAGATGTCTAGTTACGATCCTTCTCACGACTATCTCCACATCGAGCGAGTTTTTAAACAAGCTGTAAAACTGGCGCAGTGCGACGACGAAAATGGTGAAGGGTATAAAATCGACCATTTGGTAGTTCAGTTAGGCGCGCTTTTCCACGACCTACAAGACTACAAATATCAGTCCACTGAAACCACATCAGAGCAAGAGCTAAGGCAGTTAATGATAAAGCATGGCTTAGAATCGGATAGAATCGATACCGTAATAAAGATTATGGGAAACACAAGCTACAGCCATGAGGCTAAACTGAAGAAAGCCGGCCAATGGACCGAATGGCACCTCAAGTGTAAAGAGCTTCACTGGTATGTATGGTTATACTTATTTTTTCTTCCTTCCTTATTAGAGAGAATATCAAAGTGTAATATAAGTCAACGTTTTAAACGTATGACATAAACAAAACCACTAACTGAGTTGCACTACTTTTGACCTTTTTAGTGTCCAAGATGCTGATAGATTGGATGCCACAGGGGCTTTCGGAATCATGAGAGTAGCTGCATACTCCGGAGCTAAAAATCGACCTCTATTCGATCCAGAATCCAACTATACAAGTTATTTTCACTTTGAAGAAAAGTTACTGCTCCTTAAGGATAGTATGAAAACTAAGACTGGCTCTAAAGTGGGCTTGAAACGACACGCTATTTTGCAGAAATTGCATCATGAGATGCTTGTTGAATACAATATGGAAGACTTTTAGGTACAGATTTAAAATTCAATAAATCATAAAATAGATAGTCTAGCAGAATACTTAGCTTCTATATCTGGACAAAAGCTTTACTTGAGTGATATTGATAGATAGATAAAGCAAGCTGTAAGCCACGCATAATTGCATACCACTCTACACTATGTAAACTACGCTTTCAATAATTTTCATTTGTCCCAAGTCCGAAAAAAACTGTTCGAAAATAAAAAACGAAAAAGTCGCCTTTGATAACAGTATTTGCTAACAAATAAACCGTCACTAAATTATGT